TTTATAGTTTAGATTCTTCAAAATAGCCGCCCTTTGCTTTGATTACCGCTTTGCACACTCTTGGCATTCTCTTGATGAACTTCATGAGTTAGTCACCTGAAATGGCTTTCCAACAGTCTTGAAGGAGTTCCCCGAGATGCTGAGCATTTGCCCTTACACAGCCTGGAGGTGTGTTTGGGGTCATTGTCCTGTTGAAAAATAAATGATGGTCCAACTAAAAACAAACTAGATGGGATGGCATGTCGCTGCAGGATGCTGTGGTAGCCATGTTGGTTCACTGTGCCTTCAATTTTGAAAAAAAAAACCCCAACAGTGTCACCAGCAAAGCACCTCCATACCATCACACCTCCTCCTCCATGATTCACAGTGGGAACCGTGCATGTAGTTGTAGTTCTTAGTTGTGGTTTCCTAGCAGCTTTTTGACCATAACATGATTTGTGCAGTCTCCGCCGAACAGCTGATGTAGAGATGTGTCTGCTAATGGACCTCTGTGTGGCATTTATCTGGGCTCTAATCTGAGGTGCTGTTAACTTGTGATTTCTGAGGCTGGTGACTTGGATGAATTTATCCTCAGCAGCTTTCTTGGGGCGGTCCTCATGTAAGCCAGTTTCATTGTAGCGCTTGATGGCTTTTGCAAAGCACATTTAAAGTTTTAGCAAATTTTTAGACCCACTGACCTTTAGTTCTTCAAGTAATGATGGACTGTTGTTTCGCTTTACTTAGCTGATTGGTTCTTGCCATAATATGAATGCTAACAGTTGTCAAATTAGGCTGCCAGTTGTGTACCAACCTGACTTCTACACAACACAACTCATGGTACCAACCTCATTAAGAAGGCAATAAATTCCACAAATAAACCCTGACAAGGCACACCTGTGAAGTGTGACTACATCATGAAGCTTATTGACAGAAAGCCAAGGGTTTGCAGCGTTGTCAATAAAGCAAAGGGTAGCTACTTTGAGGAATCTAAAATATAAGGTCCAAACTTTTGACCAGTAGTGTATTACAGACTGTCAAGTGTTGTGTTGTACCGGTCAGATATGGCTCCTCCAAACAGAGATCCCAGCAGCAGACCAGTCATGAAGAGCATCTGACCATAAGACAACCAGTCTGTCCAACCACACACTGACTGACACACACACACACACACACAGGCAAATATAGATGTTCAAGTGCAGAATACACTCAGAGAACCAAAATATAAGATGCAATGAAACAAGTTTCACAAAGATTAACTTTTCTGTTTACAATGAGAGACATGACGTGTATGTGTAGCTGTGGGGGTTTATTAACTTGGCCATAATCAGTTTGGATGTGTTTTATTAGTTGAATAAGAACTGAAATCCTGACTTTTAGGTAACATTGACAGAGTCAGATTTGCTTGAGCTCCTGCTCCAGAATGGAGTATGTTAACTTTATACAACTTACTAGTGATGGCCCACATGCTGATCTCAGCACTTTAGTTAACATTAACATTTGAGTAATCATTAGCTTTCTGACCTCTGATGACCTCTAGAAACTTTTATTAATATCTTTAAAATGATAGTGGCACATATGATAATTTTTGCAGCACAAACCAGTACCAAAATAGCTGGATTTAAAGAAGGTAGGGGTTAAATGTCAGGTTTCAGACACATTTAAATCCGGATGCTGGAACTCGGGAGTTAGGTCACTCTGGAGTTAGAACATTCTAGAAAAAACAGGATTTGTTTTGGTTTTTAGTGAGGTATCAATCAATTGATCAAGCCTGGTCACTGCTCTGTGTATGGCTTATTTAATGAGTCGCAAATACACAATAGTGGAAGCACAGATTAAAAGTTTACAGTTTTACTGCTACTTATATTCAGCCGTAGGGCTGTTCGATATAACGATATATATCGGATGACTATATAAAAACATCTATCGTTTCATTTTACGCTATTGTTTGTTTCGTGGTGTCGCAAAATAAACTGTTTACGGCAATATTTTTTTAATTTTTTTTCGTTTTCATGGTCACTGTAGTGGCTATATTAATTTATTAAAGTGCTCCCTTTCTCTTATATTTTAATACTTTATGCCTTGTCGTTAGCAACAATGACGGTAAAACCACCGCGTGTCTGCTTGTTTATGTTCCACATAAACCTTTCACAATAAAGCTCAAGATCCTGTTGAGACTTTTCAAAATAAACTGAATCACGTGGAAGATGCAGAAAATTTACGGATGAAAAGTAAAAAAGAGCCGTCAGGTGCTAAAAAATAAACCTTAGACTCAAACGTTAGAACAGGCTTTTCCCCGCAGCACGCCGTGTAATAAATACTCACAAAGAAAACGGCGGCCGTTACAACTTATGTCTAAAAATGTATCGTTTCATGCATCGGTTAAAACACTGGACTCCAGGTACACGACGCCCAGCTGGAAACACTTCCCGCAAGTCGAGCTGCCCGAGATTCACAGAATTTACTGAAAATGTTACATTTTTGTGATTTATATCGTTATCGGGACGATATATGCCTTATATCAGGATATGAAATTTGGGCCATATCACACAGCCCTATTCAGCCGGGTTAGTAATCCGTGGTATGTTGGTCTGCTTTGGATTTCCGAGTGGAAAATGCAAGTTAAAGGGGCATTTCATAAAAAAAAATTCCAATTGCGAACTCAGAATTTGTGACTTCTAACATATGCAGGAATGCACCTACATGCTGTGCATTCCAAGTACTTCTTCACCTAGAAAACTGCAGTGTTTTTCAGACCATTTTCTGTAAAGCCTAGAAATGATTGAGGGGGAAAATCCCAGAAGAGCACAGCACAACAACCACATTCACTTAAATCACCCTTTCTTTTCTATTGTGATGCATAGCTTGGTGCTGGCCCAGCAAGTTGCCTGGACCATGTCTACATGCATAAATGCATTGAGTTGCTGCCACTGGTTGATCAGAAATTTGCTTTAACAAGCAGTTGAACAGGTGCATTTGGAAGACGGAACTAGCAAATTTTTGATTCTGTGCTTGAAAAATACTGAAACCTTTCTTGGATTTCCTGGATAGAGGTCCAGACACAAATATCTATAATGAGTTAAAAAGATTACAACACGTGCTTATGCTAAGCATGGCTAAATTCAGTTATGATTAATGACAGACAATTCACAGAAAATTAGCTTTTTTTTACTTTACCCTCAGAAATGGTTCATTAACAGCTTCAAGTTAATCATTAACACCATGTTAATCTCAAGAGTTGCTGTTATGTAATGCAGATTACTGTCCAGTTAGCATGTTGGCTGAGACTTTAAACCGCTCATTTAATGTTGAAACAATTGTGAAAGAGGCCATAGGCTGGCCTTTCAGTGGTGTCAAAAAACTTAAAGTTATATAACTAGAAAATCTAAAGTTTATTAATTGCACGTTATTCATTTCATTACAGTTCATTTCTAATGTGTCTGAAACTATATTCAGGCCTACACTTTAAATCATGAGATAACTATAACAGTAAAGGGAATAAGAAACATGCACTTAAAAATATCCCCAGGTGTTGCACCATCACAGTATTCATGACTGTGTTACAACTTCAGACCTCTCAATGGAAATAATCTTCACTCACGTCTCGGGTCCCGCTCTCTGTCCTCCAATCGGCGTCGTCCTTTAAAACCTTGCTGAGCGCTGATTGGTTGTCCTCCTTGTTCGGTGCCAACTTTTCAAGCCACGAAGCAAACGTGCCAGTATCATTGCCATGGCGACATGTCTCGGCGACCACGGCGGTGGTAAAAATGTCCAGAAAAAAGAGGAAAGCCGTGAAGAAGAAGATTAGAGCGAGGCGCCAGTAGACGGAGAGCTGCAGCGGGGACATGAGCAGGCCTGTCTGGTCTCCCACAAGCTGATTCATCCTGACCTTTACCATGCTGGAAACTTCAAAACTCACAACTTTGATGTCTTCAGGAGCTCCACATGTTGTTCCAGCAGACCTCTGAGCAGCGCGTGCCGGTCAGGTCTGAACAGTTGCTGCTGTCACAAGAAAGTGGTTGACCTGTCAGGCAGGCAGGAGGCGGCTTATATTCAGGGCCAACTTTATTACGCCTTCTTTTCTCCATAAGGCCCGACAGCGGGGGACTATTTTCAGTACAGCGGAACAGCGACACCCGGAGGTCATGTGCGGTCCGGCACTAGGACCACCTGTACTGGAAAAGAGAGGGTACAGCCAAAGAGGCAATGAAAGAAAATAAATACAGCTCTGCAGACAGTGGAGAAAATGATTGAAGAAGGAAATGAGGGGTTTTGTAAAAGTAAAGGAGGATATGGATGCTGGAGAAGAAAAGAACCAAGACAAGGGGTGATGTTTAAATAGAAAAAAGGATGATGAAAGATGGAGTTTAAATAAAAAGGGAAAGATGATGTAACACTTACTGTGGAGCAAAAGACTGCTCCGTTCCAGTTTTAGTATTAACTCTTCAGTTAATGTCCGACACCCTGAGAGTCCACAGGTTAGGCATGTTGGATAGACGTCAAGATGTCATGCCAGGCTGCTGATAGTTAATATTATCATTATTTGACTAGCTGACCACAGGTCAAAGTGCAGCTTGCCAGCAATGGCGTTTAAGCATCTAGAGGCCCATTTAAAGAGCTACAGTGGCATCCTACACCCGAAACGTGGCTGAGAAAATCTAATCGATATCAGCTCATTCAAGGACAACAAAAGTTCTGAGAGGGATGCAGTTACCTAAAATAGCCTATAAAAACTCTAGTGCCTAAAAGCACCAAAGTTTAATTATACAAGCTTTAAGGGGTGTCCATGTAGAAACACGCAAGCAGCAATGCGTGGGGGGAAAAAATTAATTTTTTCATTTTTACTCTGTCATATATGATGATGTGAAAGCTCTACTCTCTTTTGTGTAGCTGCTGTGGAAGCTTTTTTATGCCCTGCATCGTCCACAGCTATGGAAAAGTGTGTGCTACACCTCCTGCGTTGTATTACAGATAACTTATCAACAAATTTGCCCACTTAAAAACAAATGTCCTCACACTTTTTTTTGTCATATTTACATTTATTTTTCAATAAGCACTTGTGAAATGCACAAAAAGTACCTGACCTTTGATTATGTAAATAAACACCATGAAAGACAAATTAGTATTTTTTTTTATTCATTCTGATTATTTTAACAGCATTTAAAAACATAAAAGAGCAGAAAGGAGAGGAGTGTGTCAGGGTCCTGTTAGAGCATCTTTACTTCATCCAAATATGGTTGGTTGACTGGAGGAATATATCCATTTAGTGCTCCAGAACCTCGAAAATTTATCTCTGCCAATGAGTTTCTAAAGTGCAGTTGTGGAGAAGCACCACAAGGTTGAGCTCCCTTTGTTATGGTTGAGATTTGTACACAGACATTGATAGTTGTTTGGTTGCCAGTGGCTGCCAAAGCCCACACGGAACAGAAAGCTTCTTAACACTGTAAATAAACCCAAAGTGTTCTGAAGGGTTGAACTGCTTGAGGTGAATTTTGAAACATGAAAGACTATTGTTTAATTTAACACAACAGCAGGGTTTGATTCAAATTTGAAAACTGAGGCCATAAATGTGACAGATATCAATGGTTTTCATAAATCGAGTAAATATACAGTTTATATCTCAGAAATAGAAACAGAATAAAAACAAAACAGGCAGAACAGAGGTGATGAATTCAAAGTCAGCTTGAACACAAGGAATAAGGGGCTACACTCCTGGTCCCTCTGAGTCCCATCATGTCTTGCTGCCACTGGCTTGGTGAACATTTGTTACCACGGTGGCCACAGCTGAGAGAGGTGTGGAGTACACGGACACCATGCTCTGCAGACCAGTTACCAGACAGCGCCAGCTGAAGCGTAGTGCTTTCCCCACATTCTGCACCAGACCAGAGAAGAACAACATTAGTGCTTTCATTTTGTTTTTTCTGTACTCACCACGGGCATTAAGGTCAATTACAACTAGATTAAAAACTATCTTGTAATATACAGGAACTGTCTCTAGCATTGGTCTTTATCAGCTTGGGCAGGGTTTTTTTTTTTTTTTTTTTTTTAAGCCACAGCTTGCCGTTGTTGAAGTTGTATAATGAGTAATACTAGTTTATGGTCATTTCCTGTTTCGTTGTACTCATTATGCTAATGCAGATGCATATTGTTCATCAGCAAACATGTGCAAAAGACCACTATGAGGGTAAAAGTTGCACCTTTTTTTTAAAAATGTGTTGCCTACTGAAGCAAAATTTAGGTAGTGCTGAACCAAATATGTAAACAAAGCAGCTATTTATTTCATATTTACCCGGCACAACAAAGGCTCAGTTGTTGTGCTGGGTAAATACTAAAGGCGGTGGCTTTGTGACCTGTAGATTAGAATAGAGTTTATATATTTGGAATATGGATTTTACTGCAGGACTCACCAGCTACATGATGACATAACAGAAGTAGTGGCTGGAAATGTTTAGAAGGAGAGAAAGATACTGAGCGAGACAATCAGATTTGATGCAACATGTCATTACATTTCAAGGAGGTGGATACCAGGTTAAGTTGCAAGGTTTATAGATTTAAGACAGGGGCAAAAATCCCCTTTAACTCTGCTATTGATAGAGAAGAACAGAACAGGCTAAAAGGTTAGCGTCTGGTGAGAAGAAAGGACAATGAACAAATGGGGTTAAGAAAGGGAAGGGTGTGGAGCATAAGAACAGAAAGGTACTCTGTTCCAGTTTTAGTATCAACTCTTCAGTTATTACCAAACAACCTCAGCTCCGTAAACCATCATCATACTGAGTTGTTGTCTATTATTGTTTGACTGACAAACCACAGACATA